ATAGAGCGGAAAGAAGAGGAAGAGCGACTAAAAGAGGAAAGGCAGGAGCAAGAAGAACAACTAGAATATGAAATGAAAGAAAGTATGTACACGTACATGTATTAAATACTTATCATTTCCTTTTAGATTTTCTAACACAAATTAGAAGTAAAGCGTTTTCGGAAGGTCTTGATGTTCCTGACCTTCAAGTGAATCTGAGACAAGAAGATGTTGATTTAGTGGCAGGGCAGATTGGGAAAGATTGGTACACTTTTGGAAAGTATATGAAAGTTGAGGAAAGCACATTGGATCATATTAAAGAAATGGGAAAAGATAAACTGGAAAGAAAAATAAAGTTGCTAGAACATTTGATTATTAAAAAAGTTCGCTTTGAAGATATAATATATGGGTTGTACAACTCAGCTGATGAGCATAATCCATCCATTCATAGCATACTGGAATATTTGTTCAGAATTAGGATTGAAAAACCGGAAGGTAATATTTTTAAATAATGAAATAAAATAAATAACTCCCATAATAGAATCATCTGATGGTCAGATTTCAGCAGCAGATAAAAAGCAGAATAAAAGTTTAGAGCCAAATGAAAAGTGGGGTCAGAGAATAAGACCGTACGAAAAGCAGAATTCAAAATCAAGACTTCAAGATCAGAATTTGACACCACAATCCCGCAGAATACTAGTATCTCAAAGAATGCCACTCCCTTGGCAAGCAAAGTTTGCTGCAAGGCAAAAGTCCCCACCTACACCATCACAGTTAATGTCACGACACTGTTTGAGTGATTTAACACCTGAATGTTATCAACTGCATTTCTATAGTGCACTGTGGCTTGAAGAAGATGAACATATCAAAAAATTGTCAAAAAAGTAAACATTATAAATTATTAAGTCATTAGATCTATGTTTTATTTTGATAGGTGTGATGGTTTAAATTACAAGCTTACAATATATGATAAAGTCCCTGACTTTCTTGTTCAGAATTTTCATCATAAATCTTATTACGGGTATCTTTCTGGTTTATCTGATGATAAGATCGAATATGCCACACAAGCCAGCGACAATGTCACACTATTAAAGCTAGGTTCTAATACTCGTCTATGCACAGCATTCAAGCATCGCTGGAATTTTAATCACCTTGAGAATCGAATGTACATAGTAGCTCCTAATTCTCCTGAATTATCTGAAGCAATGAAGAATGGTACAGCAGTGAAAGGAGGGAAAGAGATTGGCATCTCTGCTCAGTTTACAGTGAAGTACTCCTATTTTGATCATCTTCATCATGCTGTTGACAAGGCTCCTGAATATGTTGTCAAGTGTCTGTTGCCTGGTGAATCTTCTTTCGGTGACCCTGCATCCTATACATTTGATGGTTTTGATCCTTGGCATTCTAATTTTCCCTGTACGAAACTTGATGAAAAGCATCAGTTAAAAGCTCTGAAAATGATTGTTTCTGAGTCTTCTTCTACTTGCAAACCCGCTCCTCCAGTCATTCTTTATGGTCCGTTTGGTACTGGTAAAACTCGAATCCTCGCTCGTGCTGCCTTTGAAGTAATGATGAATGGTGTCAATAAGAATGAATTTACCAGAATATTGATTTCTGCTCACCACGAAATATCAATTACAACCTTCATTTTTGCTTACTTTGGTGTAATTTCAAAATTATCTCACCTTCCTTTTAAAGTCATTCTAATTTCTAGACAAGAAAATAAAGGAGTTTATAAAGACATGTATATGACACCAGAGGAGTTTGCCTGGAAGAGTGCTGATATACGCACAATGCCTCATGTCATCATAATCGCTACATACACCATGTCTCTCAACCTTTATCAATACCTCCACTTTCCTAATAAAGGATTCTTCACACACCTTTTTCTTGATGAATCTGCTCAGGTTCGTGAGCCTGAAGCTATCACACCACTTGCTCTAGCTACTAAAGGTGCTAAAATAGTTTTGGCAGGTGATACCCAGCAGGTATAATTTAGAATATTGTGTCCTCAGATTATTTAATTCTTTACAGGTTGGTCCTAACATATTAGTTTTGGGAAAAGAAGCCAAGAAGTTTGGGCTCGATGTTTCCCTGTTGCAACGTTTGTTGAAAAGATATGAAGAGATTGGTTCAGTGGCAGCACGTTATGTCACTAAATTGTCAGTCAATTATCGATCACATAATTCATTGATAGGTTTGCCAAACCTATTCTATAAGGATTTGGAGATAAATCCTGACA